CGACGGCTTTTGCTGTGTTCTTTTAACATTGCATGGGTGGCGTAATAATTGCACTGTCTATCTGTTATCTCTCATTCTTGTCGCATAATTAGTTCAATTCTTCTTTCTCCCTCACGCTGCGTTGATAATATCGCTCTCACCAGTTCAGAACTATAGTATTTCAGTGGAGATGTGCTGCAGCTTACTGACAGCTAGTACGCCCCGTTTCATAGCAAATTTGGGTTATCAGTAAATTCCTTGGCAAGCGTGGTATTCCATTTCTGCGCAACAGAACTGGTAACTCAGCGGTATGGGAGTGGAATTAAAAAAAAAATATTTCGCAACTGAAATTGAATTTCAAAAAAAGCAAAGAGATGTGGAACGTGTACCACCTTTAGTTTGTTACTGGACTGGAGATTCAGTTTCTTGAGTTCATGGACAGTTATACCTACTTGGGACAAGCAGTACAAATGAGTGACGAGATCATTTTGGGAAAGAAAAAGATCGGAATGAATACCTTTGATCAGTTTATGAGAAGTCTTTTCCAATACTAACTTTTAAATTTTCAGCTCTAAAAATTCACTGCAGCGAGCAAACGCATGATGTCCTCAAAGAAATTGAGGGTTTTGAGCTGAAAAAACGTGGCGCACTACAAATTAAGGTTTTTTTTTCTTTTGAAATTTAGTTTTTGCTAACTTAAAAGTTGGTCTTGGTCGTGAAATTTTTGTAATTTCTTGATTTCCCGTTTTTTTTTTTTTCATTTTTCGGTGCAAATTTCCTTTTTTGCCGGATTTGGTGAATAGATTGTAAAGTGGGCAATAAGTTTATAGCTCACTTTTATATTTTGATGGGCTGTATTTCATCTTCTGATGTAATTTTTGGGGAAAAAAGCCGGGGATCATGTTCACAAAATTTCAACTTTTTACCACTTTTAGCAAGAGAGTTGAATTATGCTTTAATTACTAAGTTTAGGGGAAAGGTTTGATGACAACATATTGGCTTACTTCACGAAAGAATACAGTGTTCACAATCAAAAATGAATGTGAGCTGTTGTTGGATGAGAAGCTAGCGCCAGATATTTTTCCGAGAAATTCTCTTCGAAATCGACTATCAAGTTCGGGTATCATTGTTCTCTCTGTAATCTACTGCTCTGTTGTTTTTTTTTTTTTTTTTCTAGTGGATTTGATGTATATCTGTTAGATACTAAAATTTAGGGAAGAGAGGGATAGTGGAAGAAGATGAAATGAAAATTTATTTTGTTGAATGTCTGTATTGTTATGTGTATGCATTTTTATAATATTAATAATTATGTATAAAATACAGAATGACATAAATATTAATAGTTATGATAATATAGGTGTTAACAATTATGATAATATAAATGTTTATAATTATGGCAATATATTGCATGTATACACAAAATCTGTGCCGAAAGGTAGAGACGTATTGTATTGTGGGCACATTTATGTTAGGCAGAATATTTGGCACAATGGTGGCCAGATTTTTCCCCACAGAAAATTTGAGACTTATTTTTTTAGCAATTAGTAAAGGATCGTCAATTTCTCTGGTTGGCAAGGAGCCATCATTGTTGCGGCGAATTATTGAGCGTGCTACAGCATTTCGCGAAAGCACCCAGGCACTTCATAATGGTTTCATCGCTGTTAACAGTGATAATAACAGTGTGAGCAGCAAGCTTAAGCTTACTGCTAATGCTGCTACTGCGGCTGCTCCTACATCAGCTTCTGTTGATGAAGACAACTTGCACAGGTATATTTTG